AAGGATCGATGTTCTTCCTTCTTTCCAAAACCTCTTGTACACTCTCTCATGTTTGCGCTGCTCCATCCAAAACCACTAGAAAACGACTACATGACGTCGACGCAGTGGGGCTTCGCATCAGCTAGATTATCGAATATATAAACCAGCACATCTGGGCAGACCTTTCATCATCGTGCTCTTCCCGAGTTCTCCAAAACTGGCATTGAAAAGCTTGATGGTCTTCCGTTTTTTCCAAAAGCATTCGTTACCTGCTGGTATGACTGTGTCCTGTCTTTCCTGAAATCAACAGCGTTATAGGGTATGGAGTTAAGCCTCTGGATTTTAAAGTTGGTTAGGTCGTCGCTCAAACTGGGAATATCGCAGTGTATGTGTCGCGTCAAAAAATGACCATCCACCATGACGATGTGGTTGTGAGCGTCGAGCTTGCAACACGAAAACCTGCAATACAACTCGCTACGTTGTGTCTGGCGGTTTGGCAGCTGTGCATATAAATACCGCTGCGATTACCTTCACTTTTATTTACCACACTCTCTTCCCGAGTCTACCAAAAGTGTACGAATCTGAGTCATGATTTCTTTCTTCTAAAAGCTGCCTTGTTACCATTTATGTTTGTCCTTCCTTCCAAAACGCCGATCCAAAGACAAGATGACTTCGAGACTGTGGGATTTGGCATTGCCTACAGTAACTCTTAAAAGCATTCTCGACTGAGCTATGTGTGCGCTCGAAGAGTAGCGGCTGAGGTTGCGATGTGGCTGAGTGAGGGTGTCAAGTTTGTAACACCGAAAACACATCTGCCGCTTCTTTACATGGGTGTCTCCCAGTCGGGCGGCTGCGTATATAAATACTACCGCGGTTACCTTTACTCTTACTCTTGTTCATCACACTCTCTTCCTGAGATTACCAGAAAAGAATGAGAAGAGTCTGATGTTCTTCTCTCTTTTCCAAAACTTGTACCTGGAGCATTTGATGTTCCTCCTCCCTTCCAAACCGCCCAAAGATAAGTACGATGAGTTTGAGACCGTGGAATTTGGTATCAGCTGTTGTATTTCCAGAGCAGAGCCAGAGCAGAGCCATGTGTGCGTCCTGGAAAGACGAGGCCAATCAGTTCATGTGGCTAAGAGCTTGGAGCTTGGAATACAAGAAGAGAGATCTAGCCGCTGAGAACACACTGCGCCGTGGTCACGGCTTTAGCAGTATATAAACCTCACTTCTCAATGATTCTTTCTCTACAACACTTCTTTCTTTACTTTCTAAAATCTATTGACACCATTTATATGGTCTGAGGATCTCCTCGCTGGACAAAAAGAAACAGTGCAATTCGCTATGAGAATTCGAGAAGACGACTTGCGCGACTAAAACACGAATGCAAAAAGACCCATAGAGAGCATTTCTGAAGTATCTTACATTCTCAACCATGGACAGAGACCCGGGCTTTCCCGCATTCTCACATTCCAAAACTTCGCTTACTTGTCCTATGTTTGTGCCGTTCCCACGAAAACTATGAGCATCACCCGATATGGGTGCGAAACTGAGACAAACTACTGAATGTATGCTCGAAGACTTTTATGCGAGAGATCAAAACTGCAAGGAAGTCGTTACATGTCTCTGCGAGTTCTGTGGAGCATGTGATGATACCTCAAGCCAACGCCTTCAAATCCAACGCCTTCAAATCCAGCGTCGCTGACCTCATGACTCAGTTCTCGTGTATATAAACCCCCCATCTACACCCAGTCTTCTTCAACACACTTTCTCTCACTTCTTTCCAAAAAGCCCACCTCTACTACTCATGATCTGGAGTTCCTCTCTCCAAAAACGACCCACGTTTCGGTCGATGAGATCCCGCTCCAGCAGCTCGCGTATCCAAAACAAACGATGATAAATCCGCTCTATGGAGAGAGCCTTTCCAAATCCTCTGCCGTGGTTTAAAATCCGATGTTTTGGCTTGGAAGTGCTGGGTAGGAAGATGGCTAGGCATTGTTGTGGGGTTGGTGAGGGGAAGTGTGATAGTGTGAGCTTTTGTGTGTGTATGTAAATCGGTCGAAGCAGGTAGTCATGCGATCACAAAGCCGATACTTTGTAGCATTTCGTATCACAGACTTGTCAATACAATATTTTTGAACTACGTCTACCTCTCATGCAGGGTCAACAGGACGGTCTCAAAACGCTGTCTCGGTATTCAGTACCAAGCATTTCTCGCCATGCCTCCCTTGCCATCCTACAGCCTCAGCCCCCTCAACCCCTCCCCCACCGCCTCCCTACTCCTCAAACTCTCCCCCGCCGCCCTCTGCGCAAACGCGACAACATCCTTAACCTTCATCCCCCTCCCAAGTCCATGTGCAATCGCCCCACAAAACGTGTCTCCAATCCCATTCACACTAACCACCTCACTGGGCTGCAGCACCTTCTCCACCGGAAAAAGTCTTATATACAGACCACCAACGCCCTTGCCTTTCCCATCTTTACCAGCCGACCCCATCGCCGACATATTCCTCGCAAGAACATACCCCCTCTCCTTCTCATCATACAACTCCTCCGCATCGCTCGCGAGCAACTTCGTCATCAACACACCCTTGCTCCCCAATTTCGTCAGGATAGTAGGGAAGAAAGGCAAGAGTTTGATGGTTTGTTGGGGGATGCCTTGGTCGACTAGCTCACTTCCTACGGTGACGGCTAGCGGGACGCGTAAGCCGCCGTTGGGTATGCCCAGTGCGTCTATCACACCGAACCATTCCGGAGACTCGAAGAGCGTGGATTGGGCGGCGAAATCGTGGAGAGCGGTGAGTTCGTAAGTGTTTGGTGTTATGATGTCGACGAGGGGGGTGGGGTAGACGGATTGTTTGGCCGTGGTACTGGAGGTGGAAGGGAATATACGCAGCGCCTTTGCCGTGGAGACAGGCTCGAAGATCGTGGTTGTATCGGGGTGGCGGGCAGCTTGGAGCCAAGTGTGTAGAGCGGGTGACGACCAATTTGCGTCTGTGACGAAGGCTTTGGGGCGGGGAGAGGTGGTGGTGAAGATGCTGGCCGCGAGTTCTTGGATTGTATCGATGGGGATGGTTTCTAAGATTGACATGTCTGCCATGGCGAGGGCAAGGTCTTTGTTCGTGTTGTTGATGGCGACGTATTGGGCTGTCCGGGATGGGGCTGGGAGGGTTTTGATACCGGTTATCGGCATGCCTTCCGATTGCAGCTGGCTGAGGGCTGCGCGGCCGCTCAGGTCGTCGCCAACGGCACTGTGGAGATGGACAAAGGAGCCTAGGAGGTGAGAGGCCTTCGCAATGTTATGCGCTACGCCTCCCAGTGTTTGGGTGATGACTGCTGGGTTCGAGGTGTGAGGTAGTGGTTCTGTTTGGCTCGTAGAGGCTGTAAACGGAGCATAGTCACACGAAAAGTCGACCGCGAGGGCACCTGCAACGACTACATCTGGGACTTGTTGAGACTCGGTCGTGGATGAGATCGAGGTAACGGGAGTTGAAGGAGGCTCAGAAGGTGATGGAGGTGCATTACTCAGTTGCTCTCCCATAATAGAAGCGGGACTGGACTGAACAGGAGTGAAGTAAGAGGAACTTCGTCTAGCATACTTACATCAGTGCCAGTCTACATTAAGCAACAAGAGTGCTGGCTCACCCTTGGGCTTCTTCCTGCTTTGCTTCAAGTATGGCAAGCTCTCGTGCTACGATGGTGGCCCGTCTCACGTTCGATTCTATAAGGGCCCTGTTGGCGGGTATACTCTTGCCCTTGCTGAGCTCCTTGATCTTAGCAAGCACAAAGGGTGTGTTGTCTTTGCCGGAAATGTTGGCTGCTTCAGCTTGTTTCAGAGCTTCGGCGATGATCACATCCATTTCATCCTTGGGTATAGCGAAATCGATAGGAACGGGGTTGGCGAAGAGGAGACCAGATGAGATTTGGAGTGCGTGTTGCGCATCTAAATGGTATTAGTAATGGAACAAGAAGGGGATTTGAAGACTCACATATGACAGCAGCCGCCTCGATCTCATCCGCAATGGTCGTGGGACTCTTGACTCCACTGTCCCTCGACCAGAAGGCAGGGAAGTCTACATTGCCTTGTCGTCCATCGGCGAAGGTGCCTACACCTACGCCTTCGGTCTCAAGATACTCTATCGTCCGTGGTATGTCGAGGAAGCTCTTGCAGCCACTAGAGATAACGGTGACCGGAGTCCTGCCGAGCTCTGTCAAATCGGCAGAAATATCCATGCTTGACTCAGCGCCGCGATGAACCCCACCAAGGCCACCTGTTCCAAAGATCTTAATGCCAGCGAGGTGAGCGAGCAGCATAGTGCCTGATATAGTTGTACCGCCATTGAAGGACTTGTCGGTCAGTCGCATACCGCATACATAGCCGAGGTCTCGTCGCGAGAGCTTCATTGTGTTTGGATTACCAGCAGAAGAAGCCAGCTTGATCAGCTCTTCTGGATCCATGCCTACACGTGCTACACCGTCTAGAATACCAATAGTAGCTGGGATGCCGCCATTCGTTCGGACTACGCTTTCGAGGAGGGATGCGAGGGCTACGTTCTCAGGGTAGGGAAAGCCTGTCACGTGAGTTAGCAAACGATGCGCTTACGCATATCTTTCAATCCTACCATGAGTGTAGATTGTCGTCTCCAGCGCGACGACGGGCTTTTTGGAGTGTAGAGCTTCGCGCACCTCCTCCGAGACACGGAAGAAGCCATTGTTGGTCAAATGGCGCCTTCCCGATGCAGTCGCAATGCCATTGCGACTGGCAGATATCCTTGGCCTACCAAATGAACGTGCTAGAAGTCTCATAGTGACGTGAGAGAGTGAGGGTGGGTAGAAAGCTAGACATGGAGGGGTGAGCTCGAGCTGTCGCGCCAAGACGCGGAGGTGCCAGGGAACTCCGAAGAGAACACCTACGACGCAACATCCGCCGCGTAACCACCGACTGCCCAACCTGCCAGCCAACCCAATTCCCTCACCACCGACCTCATACATGACTGGATAGCTTGACTGCTGGTCCAACAATGAGGTCTTTCCTCTTTACGAGCTGCATAGCAGCGCTTTCGAGCTTCGCGAGCGCCGAACTCAACCTGTCACAACCGCTGCTATCCAAGCAAGTGCTACCCAGCACATTTACACCACCGCAGGTGTTCAAGAATGCCAACCTAGTCCGGACGACGAACCTGGACAAGGCATACGTCAGGGAGACGATCAATGTCATAATCGAGAACATTGACGACAAGGCGCAATCAGAATACTACCTGCCATTCGACTCGAGCACATTGTCCAAAGTTGGAGGGTTCGAAGTAAGAGACAAGAAGGCGGCTGAGAAGGGCATCTTCAAGGTCGAGGTGGTGGGCTTTGATGCAGAGAGGTAGGCAATGGTGCGATTGATGTTACATGTCGAGACTGACCGGGACAGCTCCGTCGAGTTCTACAAGATCCACCTCCCCGAGCCCCTCGCACCCAAGGCGCAACAAACCATCAGCATCTCCTACTCGATCGCCTCGGCTCTGAAGCCCGTCCCCGCCCAGATCGCCCAGACGGACAAGCAGTACATTCAATACGACTTCAGCGCATACGCACCCTCGGCCTACCTCACCGAGAAGCAGCGAACCAAGGTCAAGTTCCCCAACAGCGATGTGCCAGACTACACGAGCCTTCCCTCGGAGCTCAACGACGAGCAGACCGCCGACCCCCAGAAGCAAGGCTCGACCTTCACATACGGTCTTTACAACAACGTGCCCGCAGGCGCCCAGCAGGCCGTAAGCGTGCGCTACGAGTTCACCAAGCCCGTCACCCACGCGACACTGCTGGAGCGCGACATCGAGGTCTCGCACTGGGGCGGCAACCTAGCATCCGAGGAGCGCTACTGGCTCGTCAACCAAGGCGCAGGACTCAAGAACCACTTCTCGCGCGTAGAATGGCAGCGCCAGTCCTACCTCAACCCACCCACCTTCGCCCTCAAGGGCCTCGCTCTGCCCCTCGCCCCCGGCGCCGTCGACCCCTACTTCACCGACGACATCGGTAACGTCTCGACCTCCAAGTTCCGCCCGGGCAAGAAAGAAGCCCTTCTGGAACTGAAGCCGCGCTACCCCGTGTTCGGAACCTGGAAGTACAGCTTCCGCGTTGGCTGGAACGCAGACCTATCCTCGTACCTGCGCAAGCTCTCCACGGGCGACACCTACGCGCTCAAAGTGCCCTTCCTCGAGGGCCCCCGCTCCGGCGAAGGCATCTCCTACGGCCGCGTAAACCTGCGCGTCATCCTCCCCGAAGGCGCGAAGAACGTCAAGTTCTCCACCACTGTGCCTATCGTCAGCAACGAAACTAGCCTCCACAAGACTTTCATGGATACCCTCGGCCGCACCACACTCGAACTCACGGCTATTAACCTGGTTGATGAGTTCAGAGACCGTGACCTCGTTGTCACGTACGACTACCCCTGGACTGCTGGATACCGGAAGCCCGTTGTTATTACTCTGGGCATGTTTGCCGTGTTTGCTGTTACGTGGGTCGTGGGTAGCATTGATACTAGCATTGGGAAGAAGAAGACTGCGTAGAGAAAAGAGAGAAGGTTTGGAATGTACAAAACAAGATTGAGGGGAACGGCACGATATCAAAAGAGATCGAGAGGTTTTGGGTATCGATATGTATCTGGCTGCATGAACTGGGTTCACACAGCCGATTTAGGAGTATAGCGCTTTTTATAAGGATCATGTAAGAAGAATGAATACGAAGTTCCAATTCCAATTTCCCCGTGTCCAATAGTCTAGGGTATCACGCACTGTTCTCTACCATCTATCACAACATGCCCCTGTGCTCTCTAATCCAATTTACAACCCAGCACTCTCCGTCTACTCCCGTTTCTCTCACAGCTCAAACAAACACAGCCCCATCAAAAAGGATCCCTCCGTCCCTTGACCCGATGAACATGCCGACACACAACCCTCACACCCTCTTCACATCCCCTCCTCCCCACTTCACTCTTAACACACTGCGCTATGCGTTCCGCAATCGCTACACTGCGATGTGTACCAGAGTGACAACACACACTCAGACTGACTTCCATCTCCCTCCCCCTTCCACCATCCCTGCTTCTAGCGCGCTCCCCAAACCTAACTACCCTCTCCACGGCTTTCCGCGCCGCATACCTCGCCTCACTGTCTTCCATGACAATGTCTTGGATCCGTGGACTCACGCCTGAGTACTCCCGGCATAGAGAGGGTGAGGGTGGACGGACGGTGCGCGCGTCGATGGTGTAAAGGTGTGGGATTGGTGGGGTGCGGATGGGGAGTTGGGAGGAGAGGAGGGAGGCGCGCGTGGATTCTGAAGGTGTGAGGTCCGTGGCGAAGGTTATTATGTAGACGGTTGGGGTTGCGGGGATGGGTGTGTGGTAGGTGGGTTGGTGGAGGGGAGGGTGGGAGGATTGGTGGGTGTGGTATGAAGTAGAGCGAGGTAAAGTGGTCCGTTGAGGCGGAGTGGAAGAACGATATCGTTCTCGGTGGTGGAGTTGGGAGTCGTATTCGAAGGAGTGGGAGTAGGTGGCGTACTGCTTCTTAGGCATCTTATCGCTAGTGTCGTCGTGCCGTATGGGGGGTCGGGGTGGTGGTGGTATGTATCTGCTCTCCCTTTCCCTCTCTCTTCTACTCTCTCTTCTACTCTCTCTATCCCTCTCTCGATCTTTCTCCCTCTCCTTCTCCCTCGCCCTAACACGTTCCCGTTCCCTCTGCCTCTCCTCCTCTGCAATCCTGACCGTCCTGCTCGACGTCCCCTGAGCAGGCGGAAGATCGAAATGAACGTGTCTGCCCTCCGTCTTCTTGAGATTGCTCTTGCGCGGTGGTCTTTCTGGCTGCTGTGTTTGAACTGGTTTGACGTATCTCCAATATTCTGTTTGAGAGGGTCGGTATGAAGTGCTTGGTCTGTGAGATGTGCCGGGTCGTGCGTACGTAGTTTCGTAGTAGGAATTGTAGCGACGTGGTTCTGTGTACGGGTAGGGTCTGGACATGTAAGTTGTGTCGTAGGATCTCGAGGTGAGTCTGTGAGGGTAGAGGGGAGGATGCAGGTAGGTGTGTGAGTGGTGGGAGGGAGGTGCGGAAGTGTAGCGGTACATGGTTGTTCTTTCTCGTCTTCATGCCTTTTGTGATAGCGATAGACTGCTGTGTCTCCCCTTTGCGCGATGCGTATATTTACAGAGCCATGATAGAGGAAGAAATGATATTGGTGGTGTAGGTGACAGACGTTGGCGAAAGATTCAGAGTTCTTCGCGTAGGTTGATGGTAGTACGATACTCATAGTATGGCGTTCGCGCTCCGTGCTTGCGAGCATGCCGATAGGCAGTCGAAGCTCGTGGGAGTCACAGTCGCACAGAACGACATGGCGTTCCTGCTTCCCCACACTGCCATGTGTTGGGTGCGCATTGCTCTTGCCAAAGCTGAGGTTCGGAAATAGAGATTGAGATATGGGAACGCGACCAGCACGGGTATATGATTGCTATGAAGCTATTGCGAGTTCGACAACTTGGTTTGAGAGTGAGTCTGAAGTGGTGATAGGACTGAGAGAAGACTTGCAGTGGTCGACCGTTGATGACTTTAAGAAGTGACGATTGGTGAGATGACGAAGTGGTCAACAGACTGGAGGAAGGAACTACCAACTCTAGAAGCAGCTACCTCATTATATGCGCATTCCCCAAAACCTCTTCTTCTCTTTACGTGCTCTTTCCTCTTGCGCCAAACAGAAGTCTAGTGGATAAGTCTACGCCACATTACCAAGGCCTCTTCACTTGGGCTGCTGCCTTTCTGGGTTTAAGAACTCGATCACTAATCCTCTCATCGAATCTGCCTACCACACTTCTTGTCGCATCAACAGTAGCCATCTCGAAACTCGCAACGACTTCGAAACGAGTTTACAATTCAGTACATCTCGCGTCTAGTCAAGCTTTCTAACAGTGGGTCACCGGCCTCTCTACTGCACGACATCTGTCTGACTCCGCCACACATTCTCGCTTCCACAAGAACCCACGAGGATCCAGGACTGCAGTTTCGCAATGTGCTCAGTTCCACATTTCGTCGCTTGCGTTGGGCATCACCACAGTCAGAACGATTTAGCTTTGGCTTTGGATGACTTGCTTATGATGTGCGAAGCGGTCCCGGCGTGTAAGCCGTATATTGGCATCTCGGCTGTATCTCACAATTTGCGGTCCGTCTTGAGGCCGGCCTTGATCGTCCGTTGGGCATCAAGGTACCATGTCGGCGTCCTCGCACGGCTCGCTGACCGCTGCGACGACCCGGACGAAACTCCAGCTGCAGGTGTTCAGAGCACTGTCGTTGTCGACAAGCGAGGTGTTGTGATTGCCTTGACTAGTCGATGCGAGGCATCGCGACGTCGCTCATGCTTGAGCAGATTTCGCCATCGCGACAGCCCCACCGGGACCCTGCACTGTCTCGAACATCGACAGAAGCCGTGTCTCGTTATGTGGATATCACATATTGTGCATGCGCGGTGCAGGCATACCGCTGCGCTCAAGGCTCCGAAGTTGCGGTCTGACAGATCCGGAACCGCTGAGGGGTCCGATGTTGTGTAACGAGCTCTTCGAAGGGTAACCCGGACAGCACATAGCAAAAGCTGCGAATATGCAAACCGATTTCTTGAAAGTACGGCCGAAAAACCATGGCATGGACAAGCTCTATTGGAACGAATGAGGCTAACGATTGACAAGGTCTCTGATTGAATTGGAAGGACAAGCCGCATCGTCTCATCATGCCATATGAACTGAGAACTGACACAGTCTCCTCAACACCATGCACGACACATCTCTCGGACCTCTTGTCGTGAAGAAATCCGAGCGTCGTCAGTGGAAGGGCCGAGTTGTATCAGCCGTTCGCTTGCGCCTTCGATCCTCTTTGGGGCTCGTCGCGATACGTGCACGAACAAGAGGTTCGTCACCGAAATGTGGCCGACAGCCGCTGCTCAGCGCACGAGCAGTACTCACTGCGAAAGTACAAGTCGTACCGAAGCCGGGGAGATCATGACCGAGATTGCACGCTCGATGAGACGCGCAAAGAAGACGCTCAGAACATTCCAGGGTGTCTTCAATCTACTCCGCCCGTACAGGTTCTCCACTGTATGCGCGTTTCGATGTTGCAGCTAGAGCTGGGTCAGGGGCCCCTCCCGCACCGGATACCACTATCTGCACCCCAGACCCTAGCTGCTTACCGGCTATCGTCACCAAAGTGGCATGCCGGAGAACGTCTCCAAGTCGCCATGCAATTGTTTGCGATAAGCAATCGTCGATAGGAATCGGAGTCAAAAGGCCCTATCGTGCATACTCAACACTCACCACCCACCGGTGTACATGCAGCATGCCAGCTGAGACAATGTTAATAATAGGCGCATAATGCGCATCTTGCATTTCCCTCACCTATGTACCGTTGCGGGGCATCCCGTTACAATTTCGGCTGCAGTAACGCGGTAGGTGGCCTTTCCTGTGGGAGCTGCCTCTAGCCGATGCGTTGCCTGTCTAATCGGTGAGGGAGCAAACGTTCGATTGGCGAAGACTCAGTCAGCGGGAAAGCACAGCGCGGTTGGTGTTACTTTTCTTGTCAACGTTTCGCCTGCGTGGGATACTGATTCGACGACCGGTGTTGCGACTGCATGTGCTGTTGGGGTTGATGGCCTGGATGGAGACTTGGCTCGCAAGGCGGATCTGAGCACATCTTCCTGTCACACTGCTAGTAACGCCTTGGAGATCCTACAGACGCGGCTACCGTTGAGGGAGCCTCACTTTCTCAAGGCTAAAGGCGAACTTGGTGGTTGTGTCATGTACCTTCTCTTTCGCTACACAGGGCTGTCCGTCGGTGTGATACGTCCGCAGTCGCGGTCCACGGGTTACTTGGGGACGCGAAAGCGATGTCTGTATGGGGTTGTGGGATCTGCGGATATCTCCTCCGCCCGCCTTCCACACGCCTACCCATCTTGGCAACTGCCCAGGTGTCAACATCAGAGATATCCGCATCAAAGGACTTTGTATGGCCGGGTCGTTGTACCGGTGATGTTGCTGAATATAGTCGAATACGAGCATCAAACAGGTTTGACTCTTGTCAAGACCCACGCGCGCGCCTACTCCGAGTATATACTCAAAGTATAAAAAAGAAAAAGAAAACACGAAAACACGTGCTACGAATACTCTGCTGTGTAAACCTAATCATCGAGTCGCGTCTAGCGTACAGTCGGCATCGACAACCGACATAATCACATCATTCGCCATCACCGGCAGCATGAATCGGATTTGCCTCAAGAGTCAAAATACGATGTCGCACGCGCTACAAGCCTGTCGTAGCTGCGTAGCATAAGGCATCAAGGTCGTCGGCGACTGCGAGACAAGGTATGGCAACCACGCGCCCCCCCAGGAAGCTGAACTTGCCGATGGAAAGCGAATGTGCCGCAACCTTATCCCACCTGGCAGCAACACCCGTGACAAGTTCACGCAACGGAGTCTCCTCCGCAACACCTCAATGACGCCCTTTTCCAGCTCATTTCCCAGCATTTTGAACCAGAGAAATGC